TCCTCCCCAACAGACCCCCTTCAGGTGTTTAGATCAGCAGAAGGGGCCTGGTTTTGACCTGCAGCAGAAGTATATGCCATACAAATGGACTTAAGTCAGTGCACAATGATATGCCCTCCAAATAGATGCCTCTGAAAAGAACTTCATGAGTTCGGCAAGTCATTCGGAGCACAACTCTGTAACCATTGTTCCTCTTTTGGATGGGTGGAAGTGTTGCTGAACATAATCTGCCTGGGGTTTTGGAAATTTAGTGCTGGTTGGAATTGTTAAGACTTAGGTGGATGGATTATAGGATTGATGTGGTGTAAGGCAACTTCATAGATCCATCTGAAGTTACTGGTACACTTTGTTTTTCCTAAACCTCTTTTTAAATTTTGGTTTTTATTGCTTCCTATCCTCCAGGCTAAATATAGATGTTTCTTATTTATAAACTCCACTTTCCAGAGAGGAGAAGCCAAGTCTAAGCAAGAGCAAAACTTGCTTCTGAAACTATATAGTGATGGTTCTTGGCACATATGAATTGTCTTCTATCTGGGCCGGTGTCTCTGATATTTATGTGGTTTCTTAAAGGAGGAACACCATACTTTACATGGGCCAGAAGCCTTCTGGCTGCTCTGTAGCAAAACATTAATAAAACAAACCAAGAGATGGATAATTCTGGTGCGAACAATGTCTCTTATGAAAATAGAACGGCTGTCAGTCTGATTTGCCTCATTTCCCTTTTTGGAGTTGTGAAAAGATTAGAGCTGCAATGTTTAGTAGAGCAATTGGATATATGCAGTGCTTTTTTCTTCTTAAAAAATGTTTAGGGGTACTCTCATTAGGACTCAAGAAAATCACCATTTTATAGTTCAGATCGGGGAAAATAAATACGAAGTACAATACAAAAGTACAAAGATTCACAAAAAGTTTAGGGGCGTCCCCCAAGAAAAAAAGCACTGGATATACCAATGTAAGAAACAGGCTGCTTCAGAAAGTGGTAGTTTCTCTTTTACTGTAAATATTTAAGTATCCACACCATATGTTCAAAACATCATACGTTGACTCTTTCTTATTTTTTTATAGACAAAAAAGATCCCTCTGTCATTAACAGAAAAAATTTACAAATATCCAACACAGGCAGGAGACAATGTTATATTAGAGTCAACGGCATAAACCTCAAAACTTGCGCATTTCAACCACTGTGGACCTTATAAAGAAATGTATACGGTCACAAAAAATCAGTCAAAATAGCATTGTTCTTGGAGAAGCAATTCACGCAGTAAAATATACATTATGCATTGAAGGTTATTTATTTTATTTTAATTCTCATTATTTATAATTTATAATTCATTAGTTGCCTAATATTGCAACATCTTGGTCTGTGCTTCCCAAACATTTCTGGGGCACATTCCAGCCAGGCAAAAACACGCAAGGAGGATGTGAAGCAGGGCGCATGGAGGGTGTACCTTGGGGAGAGCCCTAAGGGGCTCATAGAGAGTCCTGGTTTAGCACAGGGGTCAGCAAACTTTTTCAGCAGGGGGCCGGTCCACTGTCCCTCAGACCTTGGGGGGGGCGGACTATATTTTGAGGGGGGGGATGAACAAATTCCTATGCCCCACAAATAACCAAGAGATGCATTTTAAATAAAAGGACACATTCTACTCATGTAAAAACACGCTGATTCCTGGACTGTACGCGGGCTGGATTTAGAAGGCGATTGGGCCGGATCTGGCCCCCCGGCCTTTGTTTGCCTACCCATGGTTTAGCCTGTTTTCTGAACCAGGGCTTGCGGCTAAGCCCTTTCCTCACTAACCATAAGCTGTAACCTTGCTCCTCTTGGGGAGCCAGCATACTTCTGTATGTCCCACTAAGCCACTGTTTGGCTTTGCGTGATGTACAAACCAAGCCAATATAAATGAAGATTTAACATGCCTGAGTAAACAAGGAAGCCTTACCTTGGTGCTGAAAAGACTGTTGGTGCCAGTCTTCTGAAATGGAGCCTGTTGCAACATGCATGCATATCTAAAAATAAGTATAGAAAAATAAGTATTTTCTTCTTCTTCTGCACTACAGTATTGGTTTATTTCTTCCAATACAGATTTAAGCAGAATTAATCATAGGCACTTTAGTGAATTCATCAAATACGGCTTTAATCAAGTGATAGCTCTAGGAAAAATGGCTCATAACAACTTGATTTTTATTTTTTAAGGAAGAGCCTGTATTTGGCTTGATTCTGACATGTGCTGGTGGTTTTCTCCCCATTGAGTTAAATTTGTGATTTACAGCGCAATCTGGACCGTGGCTACTCAGAAGTAGGACCTATTGAATTCAGTGGGGTTTGCTCCCAGCTGATTGGAATAGGATTGCAGACTAATTCTCTCAAACCAAGGCGGGGGAACCTGGGACTCTCCAGTTGTTGCTGGACTACAAATCCCATCACTCCTAGCCATTGGCCGTGCTAGCCAGGGTAACAGCATCTGGAGGGCCAAAGTTTCCCCGCCAGGAGACATTTGCAGGGAAATCGCAGCCGTCACTTTTGCAGCTGCCTGTATCTGGAGACCTTGAGCATCGTCTTGGCAGCATCACCAGATGCTGCACTTCATTGTACATTTTGCCAGAATAAGTGCAGCAGGCGCTGCTGCCATGGCACAGCCGCACGGCTCTTCGCCTGCGTGATGTGTGTGCACCTGTGAAGGGCAGATGGTTTCCTGAGGATTTTGGTTCCAAGAACTCTGGAGGCTGTTTTGGACCAGGCATATTCTGTTGCTATTAAGGCGGGTGGAGGGGAGGCCGTATGCATTTCGGAAGTGCAGTTTTCACATTTTATCTTTGGCCCATATGGTGAGCAGGAGATAAGAGACCCCGAGCTCATCCATTCACATATGCCTTTAACCAGAAGTGGAGACAGATGGGTCATGCAACTGAGATTCTGCTCTGGAAGAGGTGTAGCTCAGTGCTTTGCATACAGAATGCCCCAGGTTGCATGCAGAAGCCCTCTAGCTTCTCCAATACCTTAGTCTGAAACCTTGGAGAGAGATGCCAGTCCGTGCCAACAAAAGCAAGCCAGATGAAACAATGGTCTGATTTAGGGCTTGTGCACACTTTTGCTTTTGTCCCGAGCTTAGAAAGCATGAGTCTGAGAAGTTTTCTGAGCAGTTTCCCCATGTTTTCTAGGCATGGATCTGAGCATAGCTGTCAACCGTCCCATATTTGGCAGGAAACTCCCTTATCCCAGTGCTGTGTCACCCTGCTGTCCCTTATTGATGATGTCCCTTAAATTTCCCGGGTTTCAAAGGAAGCAGCTCCTCTCCCTCCCTCCCTGCCGGCTAGGGAGGAGGGAGGCTCCAACTGTGTTGCTTGGCTGCCCAGCACGCCCCCCTCCGGCCTCCTCTCACCAGCCTCGGCCCCTGGGAGCCCCTCCCCGCTGGGACTGGCAGGAGCCTCGGGCCCTTCTGCCGCCATCCTCCTTGTGGCCACCGAACTGAGCTTCTCTGCCTGGGGCCTGTCCTCTGCCCGCCACTCCCGCTAGGCCATACTGTGGCTGCGCCGCCAAAGGACCCGGATGAGATGGGCAGCCTGGCGCGGCCTCGCCTGATGGAACTGAGAGCTACAGATGGAGCACAAGAGAAAAGATACAGAACTGCAGCAGCATCTTCGTAGCTTGGACTTTGTTTTGCGTGAAAAGTGGTTGCTGCTTGTAGTTATTTAATTGCAGTGTTTCATCAGCTGGTGTCTTGAGCAGCAACCTCTGGAAACGAAGGGCTAAAACCCGGCGCTGCTCTCCCAAATTATCTGGTCCCTTTGCACTTTGTGTTTCAGCTGGTTGACTAAAATCCCTTATTTTGGCTGCTGATCCCTTATTTTCGAGGCTGCTGGTCCCTTATTTTCAAATCTGTAAGTTGATAGCTATGGATATGAGTGGTTTTGCCTTTGCCACACAATGCCATCCCCCCCCCCGAAAAACCCGAGATTCAGTGCTAAATCAGAACAAATGGTGATCCATGGAAAACTCGATTGCCATTTGTTGCGATTCAGCACTAAAACGTGGGTTTCCGCCCTGGGGAAAGTAGCGGGACAAGTGGAAGTGTGGAGGAGTCCTTAGTGAACCAGTGCTCAGCCAGATTCCTTTGCTCCCATCTTTGATACTGCCCACATTTTGATATGATGATAAACCATGCCTACTCTGCCTCCTTCCTCCTTGGCATGACTGCAACGAGGGGTGTGATGTTTGATTAATTACACCTGAGAAACTCTGGTTAATGTTAATTCTGTTCTGCTTGAAAAAAAGTCCGCTGTAGTTGTGAAACTGGCTTGTTTCAATAAACGGTAGCTAACGTCAACCACAGTTTGTGGTGTGCTTGTAACACTAAAATGTAACTAGTTAAAATTACCTAATCCTTATGTAGCCAAAATGAGGCCATCCACATAGAAAAGGGGGAGATATCGTTTTGCAGAATTCAGAGGCAAAAACTGAAAGGTGTGGAAAATGCAAAAGCAGCCAATAAGGATTGTTCTTGTTGAGTGGCCTTGGAATGCTGATGGACTATTGGTGGGAGAGGTAGATGGAGTTGGAGCGGGAATGGAATGGAATGGAGTCTCCTGGAGCAGAGCTTGGAAAGTTGATAACCTGAACAGGAGCTTCCCATCCTGCAATGTTTTGAAGGTCCCACTTGAACTCTGAATTCCCTTTTCTGGAGGGTAAGCTGCTGGCAAGGGCTGTTTTCACCTTGTTCTGCTTGTGAGCTTCCTAGTGGTATCTAGTTGGCCACTGGTGGGGGAAGAGGTGGACACTTGGTCTGACCTCTGCAGAGGCTATTTGAACACCTCCTGGCGACCAAATGTGCAAGAGGTTTAGCTGTGTGAAATGAGCATATTTGGTTGCTCGTTGAAACTTTTCCTGCCCAAACTGAATTGCATTCCTTCCTGGTTCTAGTGTGCTGTGAAAGAACATGCAGCTGTTCCTTATGGTCCTCATTGCCTCCTGTCCTGACACCTTTTCTGTATATCTCTCATTGCAGATTGGCAGCCTGGAAGACTATTACCACTTTCACCACAGCAAGACGATTAAAAGGTCAACGTTCAGCAGCAGAGGCCCACACAACTTCCTCAGAATGGATCCAAAGGTACAGTAGGAAGCTACTGGTGTCAGGTCTACTTTGCAGGCTTGTCTTGAGTTAGCCCAAGTTCCAGAACAAGGGCAAGTTACAAAAGGCAAAAGGAACTTTGGGTGAAAGCCCAAAGTACACTTGGCGGGAAATCACCATTTTTATTTAACTAGCTTTTGGGTGTGTGGGTATGTGTCCTTAAAGCCAGCAAGATTAAATACATGATTACCATAATTCCAGAGTTAAATATATTGCCTATGAAGCCCCTTAGGCAAATGCCATCTTGGCAGGGGCATCATTGGGTCGACCTTGATGGGCTACACCAATGATAGCCAACATGGTGCCCTCCAGGTAGTGTTTGACTCCAACTCCCATAAGACCCACCTTGCATGGCCAGTGGTCAGGAACGATGGGAGTTGTAGTCCAGTATCTTCTGGAGGGCACTGCTTTGGCAATCCTTGCAATATGCCTGCCTGCAAACTATACTTTCCAGAGGTCCGTGCAATTGAAATGAAAGTCAAATGAAAGGTTAACCCACCATAATGGCAGATGTTTTGCTAGAATATTAGATTGGGATAACAGTGGGCCCCTAGGTTTTGCAGGGCAACTTTATGTGGGTTTTACTTTACATTATATTTATTTGTATTTGCTTCAGTTTGCAGTACAGTGTTGTAAGTTGCCTTGGGGTGGCATTCCTCTCTGCAAAAGCCCTTTTAGTTGGCAGAAGGAAAGCTTTCCTCTGGGCCAGAACCATTTTAAAAAAGGTAAAGGTACCCCTGCCCGTACGGGCCAGTCTTGACAGACTCTAGGGTTGTGCGCCCATCTCACTCAAGAGGCCAGCGCTGTCCAAAGACACTTCCGGGTCACGTGGCCAGCGTGACATCGCTGCTCTGGCGAGCCAGAGCCGCACACGGAAATGCCGTTTACCTTCCTGCTAGAAAGCGGTCCCTATTTATCTACTTGCACCCGGAGGTGCTTTCGAACTGCTAGGTTGGCAGGCGCTGGGACCGAGCAACGGGAGCGCACCCCGCCGCAGGGATTCGAACCGCCGACCTTTCGATCGGCAAGCCCTAGGCGCTGAGGCTTTTTACCCACAGCGCCACCCGCGTCCCTTAGAACCATTTTAGTGGATGATTAAAATTGTGAGCATGGAACTTGTGTACAGACAGTGGGCCTACCCTGAAACAGTGTCATATAGAATGCATTTTGTCCCTGCGTGCTGGCTGGGCCCCATTTTTAACCAAGGTGGCAGGCTGGACCTTTCGAAACTTCATTTGATCTGCGGAACACTGATTATGAAGGCTGCTGGTCTACAATACAGCAGAGAATGGTGCTCTCCGACCAATTCCGTATTGCCAAATGTAGCTTCCAGACGTGTGCACATACAGCAAACAAATCAACCCATGTGCCTTCCCGTTCAAATATTTGAACTTATTCGCTCACTGTCTAACAAGCTGTAGATAATTCTTGAATGTGCACCCATATTGCATCAATAATAGTTGACGATGGCGTGGGATTTGGGGGGTGGGTGGAAGAAAGAACAAGAATAAACAAACTGCAAGTGTCTGAACATCCCACCAATTGCGAGAAAAACGGATGGCTGGTGGTTTTTTTTGGTGTTCTAATTAAGTTTTGGAGCCCTAGGGGAGCTAGGGCGAGGGAAGGGTATGAATCTATATCTGCAATGGAAAAGCACACATTTTAAATTAGTCTACTTGATGCAAACCAAATGGTTTTTTTAAAAAATAGTCTATTTACCTAGTCGTATCGATTAATACGGCATGCACAGCAGACATTTAAAGACCCCCCCCCCCAAAAAAAAAGAATAACGACAAAATGTGGTTTCTTAAGGGTGCTGGGAATTGTAGCTCTGTGAGAGGTAAACTACGGTTTCCAGGATTCCTTTTTTGGAGCTTGGTGGGGTGGGGATACACTTCAGATGTATGGTATGTCTGCAACCTAACAGTCTGCAAAATAGAGCACCGCTGTATTTTGGGTGCTTGGAGCTAGGCTGGATTCGTAATCCATGCCTTGGTGTTCTCCCTTAGCAGATCACTTGGGAAGTGTTTTGCTACTTGACTGGTATACCTAATGTGTATGCATGAATATGCTAATAGTGGTGCTAAAGCAAGCCTTTAAACAAGTCATGCCGCCTTGAATTTAACTGGAAAAGATGGAACTGCATAACTTAAGGATTTGGGGGGGGTGCACGCGTTGTTTTTAAAAGTTTAAAGCTCCTAGTCAACTAAGTGACTTGGTGCTTTTAAAGCTGAAAACTTCTCAAGTTTATTTTTGTTTTTATATAAATCTGCATCCTATTTCAGAGGCTCCCTGAACTGGGCGATCTTTTGCCAATGAAACTTGGTAGATCAAGTGGCTTTTCCCACAAGCTTTGCAGTTTGTCTCTTTCAATTTACCTAGACTTCCTTGATGAAGGGTGAAGAAAATGTTCTCAGAAACGTGTGGAACTTGTTAGCTTTAAAATATTGGGAAAAGCCTCTAGTCCTACTTACTTCTTCTTTTTATCCAGGTCAGTTGAATCAAGTTCTGAGGGCGGGGCACGGCATCTATATCCCACAACTTCTATTGTAGGGCCAAGCTGTCGCAATACTGCATTTAGACACAGAAAACAAGCACAGTTGGGGATATCTGTCAGGGCAGCTGATCGTAATGCTAAAAAGCACCAAAAACCTCCAGATTTCTGACAGACGTGATGAAAAAGGAAGAGGGAACTAGGAGGGTAGAGGAAAGCAAGCAAGTACTGGTATCAGTTATTAGAGCAGGGGTGGTAAACCTGTACACACCATAGGTCAATATTGGGCCCAAATTGGCCCATGTAGCTATTTTCCACAATCATGCCCACCTGTCCACTGCTGGGTGACATCAGCTTCACCAGCACATTCCCTTCAGCCGGCAGGATTGAACCCTCCACTCATACTTGTTCTAGAAAATCTGGCTCAGTTTGGCTGTGCCCTCACCCACCTGTAAATTGTGCCCCCCCAAGGGTGGAAAGATAAGAAGCTGGCCTGCAGGGCAGAAAAAGTTTCCTGCCGCTATAACTGATCTTATAGTGACCCGCTGGAATGGCCACCCAGATGATGGGAGACCAGATGACCACTGGCCCCAGATGATGCAACGGGTCAGCTTTGCTTGCTGATGGAAGCATTTCTGGAAGAGCTATCTATTATTACTCTTTCTAGTAATGATCTCAGCTGGTGGGGGGCAATGGGAAGCCGCCCACAGCAGCTAGGGCAACCCAGTCAGATGGGCGGGGTACAAATAATTTAGCCAAAAGAAGAGTAAGATGTAATAAGGCATTGTTTTTCCATCCCGCCTTGTGGTCTTTGGATTCAGTGCTGTTTTCGTTCCACTGCATTTAGTCTTCTGCCAAAAGCTACATTATTTGTCCCGCTGTTGGCCGTGGCAAGATTACATCATTATGTTACCCTATCCATGTCAATGCAAAGAAAACACCGTGAACAGATTGTTTGTGGACTGAAAGGGACAACAACTGATCATATTTGCTGGATTAATTTTTGTTCTGGACATGGGGGCAAAAATTGCAAACATTGGCAATTTCTATTCCTGTTTCCATTGGAATTTTGCAGCATCCCTAGTGAGGAGAGTGGGGGTGGTGGTGGAACTGGTGTCCTTTTCCTCCCACCCACCCCCGGAGAATTGTGGGAAGAAAATAATGCCCAAACAGCCAGCTTTCCCTTGCCATTTACATGCAGTGAATTGCAAACACCTAAAAGCATCAAATCGGATGATCGTTCTACATGCTATTCTGATGCATCTTCCGTGTTGGAAAATCATAACAAATAAAGACATCCCAAAGGGATATCCTTCATTAGCATTACATCATGATGAGGGCATCTTGTTTTAATGACTAGGCTGAAGTTTTAGTCAAGGTTCTGGGTTGGATTGGCTTGGCATTTTCGTTGTTTTCCCTCAAGTGAATTGAATCACTTTCCTGGTTTATACGTGTCTCGGCCTGCGTGTTGCAACATTTAGGCAGGGTTGGAAGTAGCCCAATAAACCAGCATGCCAATTAGCAAAATGCAATTAGCCATGCAAGATTTCGTTCACTTCCCAGTGGGCGTCGCTACGGATGCATCTGGAGGCAGTGCCGGATCTACACACTTTGCCGCAGGGGGCAGAAGTCTGTACGGTCTGCTACCCATTTCTCCTACAGATTCACATCCTACCCTCCATCACCCCTGAGAGAGGGAAGCCTACGCTGCTCCATGGGATTCTGCCACCCAAGGCAGCTGCTTCAGATTGCCTCACGGGCGACCGGCCCCAATGGGCACCAGCCTCCCCTGGAACTCTCTCCCTGTGGAGGTGCATCTCGCCTCACCTTTTTATAGCTTCAGGCGTCTGGCCAAGGCTCGTCTTTTTGGGGGGACATTTTGAGAAGGAGATATGAGGTTGTCGCTGCTGTCAGTAGCTGTCACTCAGCACGGGCCTGCTCAGTCTTCCTTACGCACAACAAAATTCAAAGCCACCACCTCTTGTTCTGCATTTATATATTACATTTTTACCTTGCCTCTTCTTCAAGGAGCTCAGAGTGGCACACACAGTTTTCCTCCTCTACCTCACATTTATCTTCTCAATAACCTTGTGAGATGCTTCTTAGATTATGGGGTTATAATCCAGAATGCGGCAGCCAGATCGGTGACTGGGAGTGGCTGTCAGGGCCATATAAAACCCGTCCTGAAAGACCTACATTGGCTCCCGGTATGTTTCCGAGCACAATTCAAAGTGTTGGTGCTGACCTTTAAAGCCATAAATGGCCTCAGTCCAGTATACCTGAAGGAGCCTCTCCACCCCTATCATTCAGCTCCGAGGGCCTTCTGGTGGTTCCCTCGCTGCGAGAAGTGAGGTTACAGGGAACCAGACAGAGGAGGGCCTTCTCAGTAGTGGCACCTGCCCTGTGGAATGACCTCCCATCAGATGTCAAGGAGATTAACAACTATGCAACCTTTAGAAGACATCTGAAGGCAGCCCTGTATAGGGAAGTTTTTATTATGTTTCTGTAATTTATTTTGTTTCTGTAATTCTGTGTTTATTATGTTTCTGGAAGCAGCCCAGAGTGGCTGGGGCAACCCAGTCATATGGGCAGGGTACAAAAAAATAGAATTATTACTATTATCAGTGGTAGTATTCGTATTATTCGTATTATAAGGTACTATTATAAGGTACTATAATAGTATTATAAGGTACTATAGTATTATAAGGACCGGCCGAGTGTCACCCAGTTGGCTTCATGGCTGACTGGGGATTGGAACCTGGGTCTTCCCAGCCCTAGTCAATCACTGTAACCACTACGTCACACTGCCTCTGCTTTGTTGTTGGACATGAAGCCCACTTCCTGTCTGTGAAGCTGGTACCCCAAGGGATGTTGGGGTGAGAGAAGGTTTACGTAACGTGTCCACCACCAAATGAAATAAGGGGACAACAGTAAGTCCTAATAGGTCAAGTGGTTTTCCTTGCCGAATAAAACCTTCTGGGTTAGGTTTGTTTGCTAGGCCTGATTAATTAGACAATTGTGAGTGCCTTTTAGCAGACTTCAGACTGCCTTTGCTTTGTACTGTACTAACCATCAATTTTCCCAGTCCCATCCTGCTCCCCAGCTTGACGGGAGCTGTGTGTCTTGGCAGGAAATAACCTAGACAAGTGTGTTATGGAAATACTATATTATTCTCATCATCTTAAACAACATAAGAGAGAGAGAACCCCAAACCCTGCTTTTAATGCCCACCATCAAACCTTTTGAGGTTTCTTATATTTCTAAGCTTCTGAGGCTTGAAGGGGTGAAAGTGCCGATAATCCTTTAAAACAATAACTCAAGAGTTGGTTGAGCACATTAAATGTCTGGTTCACGTTGTTTCTCAGGTCTTGCGTTTCAAAAGGTCACAACCGGCCTTCCCCCACCCAGGGATTCCTATTTATTATTACAGAAACTTTAGGCTAATCCGTGTGTCGGAAATGTTCTCCCTTGCTGAGAATCCACTTCAGATCCTTTGACTCCCCTCGGGGATCATTCCTACCTTGGAGACTAATCCCAGATTTTCATGACTCCATTCCTTGATGAAACTGTCCTTGTAAGAAGCTGGGGATGTGGAGGATTAATTCTCTTATGTACTTGAGCAGGGAAGTTTGCATTAATTCAGTGGAGTTGTATTATAATTCCGATCTGTTCCGATGAATAAACATTTGCTTTAAACCTCATACTTTTGGTATACAGCATGCCTATAATCTAATTTATCTTGTTAATGTTCTGTGGAGGGGTCTGTACAGCTGTGGAACATCTGCTCTATCAAAAGCTACTTGAGAGCAAAGGGGAGCATTCTAGAATTTTTATCTCGACTTTTGTTATCAAAACTCACTGAGGCCCTTTTAACCGACTTTCATTTTTCTTCTGTGGCGTGTGTTTGAAGTAGGGGTTTTTTTGTTTTTTTGTTTTGGCTCTAAGCACCCACTGCTCTTAAGAATTACGTTGGTGTTTCTTTGTACTGGGATTTGTTTAGGTTTAAGAAGAGAAACCCATTAAAAAATGGCAAAAACCAGAAAAAGGCAGACGGTTACTTAGAAAAACAATATTCACAGGATGAGGAATTATTCATGTGCTTGAAACTGCTTTTAATTAGATAAATGGCCTTGTTGTCTAGTGTCATTCTGATGAGGTTAAGATAGGCACCTCAATAAAATGGAAAGGCGTTTTCATTCCAGGCAATGAAAGCAAAGGAAGAGAGCACTTTCTTTGGCGAATTTTTGAAGAATTCCCTACCTCTAGTAGGCCCACCAGATCTCTTTTGTTGTTTTGAACAGATTAGTAGCAAACAGTTTTTGGTGCTGTTAGGGGTTGTGGGTAGGCATGAATAAGTTAGGCTTTGTTAATTAGTTAGGTTCATTAAAAGAAAAAAAAATTCTCGAAGGTTTATTGCTCGTAGCATAAGAGTACAAGAATAGTTAAATCAAACAGAATAGAAAAAAGCCTGGGTCGAATTATTCCAAAGAACAATACAGTATTAAGATAGGGAGATTAATGCAACAAAATTATATCTCTATATATTTTGCTTGCAAAATCGTCATACTGTACACAAAAAAAGCCTATAAATCTAGACAAAGTCAAGTTTCAAAACAACAGATACTGATTAATTCAATTGCAGAAATGTTGTTAGGTCGTATTGAATACTTGTTGGGTGAAGAAAGATGCATATTAGGTTGTTAGGTTCATTTTTGATGTTTTAAGGTTGTGTACATTTGTATATTATTACTTTCAACAACCTGGATTATACACAACGTTAGTGAGAGTCAGAGTAGACCTAATGTAGAGTCCATTGATTTCAATGGAACTTCTTTTGATATGACGTGTTTTCATAATCTGGGCATCCCATTTTTCTGATTTGTGCCTTCTTGTTTAATTGCCAGAAAGAACAATTTGAATGCTTCCTTTATTGTATTTTTAATGTTACAATTTATTCTCTTAATCTTTGTGAGCGTATGTTGTTGGCTGGTCGTACAAACAGAGTTAATAAGCAATTTGTGAGCCATATGGCAAGAACTGGGATTTAGATGTCAAAGCAAACAAATATTTTCTTATTGATGCTGCTGTTAAAAAACCCCAAGCATTCCTGTGAAACACTGCTATTTAATTTTTTTTTCTAGGTAAGGTGGCTGCAACAACAGGAAGTTAAACGAAGAGTCAAAAGACGCGTTCGGCGTGACCACCATTTTGTTTCCTTCAATGACCCGCTCTGGCCTGAAATGTGGTACATGGTAACTATACATTCACTCTGTGTGTGTGTGTGTGTGTGTGTGTTTGTTTGTTTTCGTATTATGCATATTTTGGGAATCTTGTAAAAGTCTTTTGGCATCACAGAATCACACATTCCCTCCACCCCCTTCCTCTGCTTTTCAGGAGTGGCAAGACTGTGAGGGTGAATGTGTGTCCTAACGTGGCCCTCTGAGCTTCTGTATCTGGCCCTTGCAACTCTATACCTCCTCTTCCCAGTTTGTGCTGCATTAACACGGCAGTTTATTCATTCTTACTTGATTCCAGAAAAAGTGGCTATTTATCTTTAAAAATATATTTTATTCATTGAAAATCAGGATAGTGTATACAAAATACTCTAAATCAGGAGAATGCAGTCAGTAAATTCAGCCTGATACAATATCACACTTTATACAGATTGCCTTTTAGAAAAGATACAAAGAAGAAAAATTAAAAAAGGAAAAAAACTAACAAATAAAACTACCGACATAGTAAGCAGGCTTAAGTACAAATTAAAAATAATCGTAACGTAAATGTCGACCCAGGTCAATTTCCCATTTTGCTCATAGTATTTCTTATATATAATAATAGGATGTGAAACCTAATCTTAGATGCTTCAAAATGCTTAGATTTGTGTGCATTAAGTTGGGTTACAAGTTAAAAACCTAAGCAGCTGGTTTTGAAGACTTGGCTAGTTGCTGTTTACAAGGCTGACTTTGATTGATGGACAGAGCACATTACTAGGCTGGATAGGACATTTAAACCTCCCCTGAGCTTCTAGGGGTAGCCTTGGCAAGAAGGACCAATCCACTGAATTTGGCTTTCTGCCCAGGAAGCTGTCTTACACTGAGTTAGACCATTGTTCCATCTGATTCAGTACTGTCTACACTGACTAGCAGCAGCTCTCCAGGTTTTCAGACACGGTTCTCTCCCAGCCCTACCTGGAGATGCCAGGAGTTGAGCCTGGGAGCTTCTGCATGCACAGCAGATGCTCCACCGCTGAGCTACAGCCCTTCCCCTATCCTAGCTTTTAAACTTGCTTGTTTAGCCGTGCGGAGTGTTGCTTGCTGGTCTGTGTGAGGAAGAAATGGCTAACCGACTGCTGCCTTCGCCCTCAGCACTGTGAAGACAACAACAGCGACTGTAGGTCAGAAATGAACGTCCTAGCAGCCTGGCAGAGAGGATATACTGGCAAAGATGTTGTGGTGACCATTCTCGACGATGGCATAGAGAAGCACCACCCTGATCTTGTGCAGAACTATGTAAGTAAAGCTGGAGACCCTTGGATCACCTCTTTTACACTTGCCCTTAAGACCACAGTCCTATACAGTGATACCTCAGGTTAAGTACTTAATTCGTTCCGGAGGTCCGTACTTAACCTGAAACTGTTCTTAACAGCACCACTTTAGCTAATGGGGCCTCCTGCTGCTGCTGCACCGCCAGAGCCCGATTTCTGTTCTCATCCTGAAGCAAAGTTCTTAACCTGAAGCACTATTTCTGGGTTAGCGGAGTCTGTAACCTGAAGTGTATGTAACGTGAAGCGAATGTAACCTGAGGTACCACTGTACAATGGTGCTTGGAAGTGAGTCCCATTGAACGTGCTTCTGAGCAAAAGTGTCCTCAGGTGGAAATTGCTAACTTGGGCTTTTATTCAGTTGTGTGCTGCATTGACAGCAGACTGCCTATGGGCCACAAAGAATCATAGAACTGTAAAGTTGGAAGGGACACTGTGGATCATCTAGTCCTCCCAACCCCTGCAATGCAGGAATACGCAGCTGTCCCATCCAGGCATCGAACCTGCAACCTTCGTGTTACCAGAACCATGATATTTGAATAAGTCAAGGGCATGGGAACCTGTGGCCTTCCAAATGCTATTGGACTCCAGCCCCCGTCAGCCATAGCCAGCATGGCCGACAGGGAGGAGCATCTAGATCAGGGGTCAGCAACCTTTTTTAGCCGTGGGCCGGTCCACCGTCCCTTGGACCTTGTGGGGGGTCAAACTATATTTTGAAAAAATATATGAACAAATTCCTATGCCCCACAAATAACCCAGAGATGCATTTTAAATAAAAGCACACATTCTACTCATGTAAAAACACCAGGCAGGCCCCACAAATAACCCAGAGATGCATTTTAAATAAAAGGACACATTCTACTGTCCTTTTACACGCTGATTCCCGCACCGTCCGTGGGCCAGACTGAGAAGGCGATTGGGCCGCATCCGGCCTCCAGGCCTTAGGTTGCCTACCCCTGATCTAGATTATCAGAAAGACTGACTTAAGGACATTAAGAAAGGAACCCTGTTGGTCTTCCCAGGCACCCTCCAGCAACTGGTATTCAGAAGCAGAGAATAGCCATTGTAGCCACTGATGGCTTTATTCTCCATGAAATTGTCTGATTCCTCTTTTAAAACTCTCCAAATTGCTGGCCATGGGAGCAAGTGCCATAGCTTAAATATGCGTTGCACAAAGAATTGCTTTCCTTTTCTCTGTCCCGAATCTTCCAACATACAGGTTCTATGAGAGAGGAAGAAAATTTTTTCTCTATCTACTTTTTTCCCATGCTGTGCATAATTTTATAAGCTTCTGTCATGTCACCTCTGGCTCACCTTTCCTCTCAACTAGAAAGTCCCCCTTGCTGCAGCCCTTTCCTCGTTGATCATTTTGGTTGCTCTTATCTGAAACTTTTCCAGCTTTGCAATATCCTGCTTGAGATGAGGCAACTAGGACTGCACACAATATTCCAAATGCAGTCACGCCATAGATTCATCTGATAGGTATCTCTCCAAGCACAAAATAAGGGAGTGGCTCAGAGGTCTCTGTGTTATGCATGGGCCCTCCAGAGCATAATCTCATTTCAGGATTTATTTTTTAAAAAATCAACTAACCAACTAATTTAATAAATAAATGCCACAGCCCTAAATGAATAACTCAAAACAATTTCTTCCCACCCATACTCTAAATGCATTGTATTGTCTATTGGCTTCCATAAAGGAGAAAAAAAATATTCTGTGAGGTGAACTAAGCCGCTGAGGAGAGTTGGGTTTTTTTTTAAAAAAAAAAACAAACATTTTGTTGAATTTGCACGCTTACCTGCTTTTAGAATTGGGCTGGACATCTGTGAGAGCAAGATGAAGCCAGCGCTCTGGAATTGACATTTGCTTGATGCTTACTGGCTCCTTATAGCCTCAGATGAGGAAATGTTAAAAAATAGGAATGCCCGGTTATCAGATTGAATCCCTGGCGTTTCTCATTAGTGTTAATGGGGCACCTCAAGAGGCTTGTGGGCTTTTCATTAAAAGTGCTGTTGTGCTTTGTTTGGAGAGCTGAGTGTGCTTTAAAAGCCCCGCTTGAATTTTTTTCTCTCTGACCAAGCTCTCTTCATCACCTAGAGCAGAGATGTCCATGTCAGCCCAAGCAAGCATAGCCAGTTCTCAGGAGTGGTGGGAGTTGTAGTTCAGCAACATTTAGAGGGCCACAGGAACCCTACCCTTGTCCTAGAGTTTTGCTTTCCTTTTCAAGCAGAAAAAGAGGCAGAATGGGGGACCTCATAAGAAGCTACCTTTACATCAGGCCCAACCTTTTGCCCCATACAGTGGTACCTCGGGTTAAGTACTTAATTCGTTCTGGAGGTCCATTCTTAACCTGAAACTATTCTTAACCTGAAGCACCACTTTAGCTAATGGGGCCTCCTGGTGCTACCACGCCGCCGGAGCACGATTCTGTTCTCATCCTGAAGTAAAGTTCTTAACCCGAGGTATTATTTCTTGGTTAGCCGGAGTCTGTAACCTGAAGCATATGTAACCTGAAGCATATGTAACCCGAGGTACCACTGTATAGCCTAGTAATATCTGTTGCAACTGATAGTGACTTTTCATTAATTTAACAACATTTATATCCTATAAACTGTGTTGTTTGTAAGAACCTCTATCCTGCCAGAGTGTCTCTTGTCCTGGTACAAGCTTGTTCCTGGCAATCACTTCTTAGTTTTTCTAACGTGAACAACTCCCTCTGTTTCTTTCAGGACCCTCGTGCAAGCTATGATGTCAATGGGGATGACGAAGACCCAACTCCGCGCTATGATGCCAGCAATGAAAACAAGTAGGCCTGTTTTTTAACACTGACTTAATGCTTTAAGGGGTGCGGTCTGCACTTAACCTGAACCAAAACACCAGCTGCCACCTGTGCTGTATGACAGCATATGGGCACTTTGCCAAATTACATTTTGATATAGATCATAGTCCTTTCTGCACAGATTTATAAAAGAATGGATGGAATTCAGCCTTGAGCTAACATGATTGTTCCATCAGTGCAGGCATTTTTGCTTTGCTAGCCGAAACAATCTCCCCTCTCCTTCCCGGCCACATGTTGTTCTGGAGGTTCTTTGACCCACCAGAGCAAGATGGGATCGTGCAAGAGTGGGGAGGGAGACCATGTTTCACTAGTAGGAATTTTGGCTAATATGACAAATAATTGTGCAGCCTTTGAGTATATTTTTGTCCTTTCAGAGTCTGCTTTCCCCATTGCTGTAAAAAATAAAATTGGCCAATTATGTTAACTTGAAAATGAGTATTAAAAATATATATACAGTCGTACTTTGGAAGCTGAACAGAATCCTTTCGACTTCCAAAATGTTCGGAAACCAAGGCGCGGCTTCTGATTGACTGCAGGAAGCTCCTGCAGCCAATCGGATGCCGCGCCGAACGTTCGGCATCTGAAAAATCATTTGAAAACCGGAACACTGCCTTCTGGGTTTTGATCGTTCAGGAGCCGATTTGTTCAGGAGCCAAGGCGTTTGAGATCCAAGGTACGACTGTATATTTAGAGGCCACTCATCTTCTGAGACCCTAAGATGTTGTTTGCTTAACGTGTGTGTAAATCCGGCACTGAGAATTATAGTGGAAAACACCTGGGGCCATCAAGGTGCCAGGAAGATTGTGGCCTCTTTGAAGGCAGGGCTCTGGTGCCTGTGACAGATCTCCAGTGACTGGTTGCTTCCTTTTTGTGCTGGCAGCAGCTACTTCTGCCTTTGAGGCTCTGAAAACCCCCACTAGAAAAAAGTTCATAACCCTATCCGCACCTTGCCCCTTTAAAGTTAGTGATCCAGTACAGACATGATCTGACAGCTGTATGGTTGTTGGCCATCTATAATACATGGTACATTACAAAGAACAAAAGTACTGGTCCCTTTCCTGAGGGCCTTGTGAAACAGAGGAAGTGGAGAGAAATAGAGGCTGGATAAAGAGTGGAATAAAAAGAATAAAAGATGGTTCTAGTTACATGTGCTTAAACCCAAACCCCACCTGCACTGTATATTTAAAGTAGCTGAATATACTACTTTATTTTTTAATAAAGTATTTTATTGTTTTTTAAGAAAAATACAAAAAACAAACCAAGTACATTCGGGCCTGGAATACAACTTATGGTAACCATACAATCTTGTGTATCATACCACTTAAAGAGTCCTGGCTTCTCCCCAAAGAATCCAGGGCACTGTAGTTTAAGGGTGCTGAGAATTATTAGGAAGACTCCCATTCTCGTCACAGAGCTACAATTCCCAGAGTGGTCCAACAGTCTATCCTTCTTCCTAGGGAACTCTGTAGTAGTAGTAGTAGTAATAATAATAATAATAATAACAACATATCTGAAGGCACCGAAAAATGCTGCATTCCCCTCCCCTTTCCAGATAACTTGACCTGTGTTTAACACCTATAATGCTACTGATTGGAAAGAAGGGCGGGATAAAACTGTTAACCATAAATAAAAATGAATAAATAATAATAATCTCCACTATCACGTGGAACTCAAACCATGGTTTCAGCTTCCAGATGTAATGGCAAACCATGGTTTATGGCCACATGGTTTGCTTTGCACTCCAGCTTTAGGTGAAGTGGCCAAAACTGCTCAGTCAAACCAAAACTAAGCTTTAGACTAAACCATTAACTGTGGTTTGGTGTAACGTCTAACTTGGGATGCTATGATGGCTACATCAAGTGCAGAGCTCCAGCTCCAGCTCCACTGCTGCATCCCACCTAGTATGGAGAGAGTTGCCTGTGATTCCCTCACAAGGGCAAGTTGTGTGGTGGAATTCACAGATGGCTGGCTGCAGTGCAAAAGCAGTTTCCAAACCGGCAGAATCCAAGCCAAGAATTCATTTTTATTTGTATTTATTATGGAGGCCTTCTGTGAATTTCTCTCTTTAATGACACTAATCCTCTGAGCACTTCATTAATTCGGGGGATTAGTTACCAAAAACTCCTGCACACTTCTGAAAACTCGCAAGAGGCGAGGGTTTCCATACAGAGTCTCCACTCCACACAGAAAATAGAAGGGGTATTTTCATCATGATTTTTGATAAAGAACTTTCCCACTCTAAAACACTGTAATTCCATTAAGGTCAGGGTACGTATATTAGGTGTTCACAGTGTACAAACTGTGTACACAAGGTGGTTTAGCTGTACACTCATACTATTATTCACATGTAACGTTCAACTAGCATACAGTCTTGTGTACCTGTGTACACAATATTTGAGAGATACAAATCAACAAATGTATACTCTTTCACGCAAACACTTGTATATGTGCAGAGATAGCATTCTTCAGAATGGAGTGGTAAAGCTTTTTCTGAACTGAATTGCTTAAAGATGAAAATCGGGCTGTTGCATATTTCAATGCGTCACCATTTTTTTTTTATTTAGAAAAAAAGACAGTTCAGACACCACCATGTAATTTTGAAGTGGTCTGGAGTCATGGCACTCTTATATATATATATATATATATATATATATATATATATATATATATGTATGTATATATTTGGAGGGGGATAGAGGGAGCAGACTGCATGTGGGTAAAGCTCAGTGTTCCCTACACATGCAGTCTGCTCCCTCTGTCCCCCCTCCAAATATATATCTATTTGGGAGTCGAACAGAATCCATTCCAGAAGTCGACTTCCAAAATGTTTGGAAAACAAGGTGCAAGCTCCTGCAGCCAATAGGAAGCTGTAGAAGCCACGACGGACGTTTGGGTTCCAAAGAACATTTGCAAACCGGAACACTCACTTCCGGGTTTGCTGCGTTTGGGAGCCAAAACATTTGACTTCCAAGGCATTTGACTTCCAAGGTATGACTGTATTTGATTTCTGAAAGAGAAATAACATTCTCTGTATTCTTTCCCCAGGCATGGCACCCGTTGTGCCGGGGAAGTGGCAGCGTCCGCAAACAACTCCAACTGCATAGTGGGAATTGCATACAATGCAAGAATTGGAGGTAAGGAAGACGTTTCTGCAATCAGTGGTCTGCAATCAGCTTTTCTGGAGGGTTGATTTGAGAAAGTAGCACTGAGTGTTGGCCCTCATCACACCTCTCCGAGGGCTTCTGGCTAACCCCCTGGCTAACAAATATTCCTCATCCACAAGTCTCTTTTTTGCCTCTAAATCTGGCATTTGGGGGTGGGTCCTAAATTTTTACCTAAGAGACACAATTCTCTAAGCTCTGCTATAAATCCTCCATGGCTTTTTCTAAACCACCCTGGAAGTTTTGCTGGAGGGCAGTATATACAGCTTCCCAATAAATGAACATAGAACAATACCCACAATTTTAGTTTCTAACGGTTAAGTCCTCCTCTGCCCGCACCCTAAAGTCCTGAAGTAACCCCACAGCTTTCCTCATGCTGTAAAATCCCTTATTAGGGCATTTTTGTTCTTTTCCTGTGTAAGAATCGTGTGCTGTTTTGGTCCCTTTCTTGTGCATTTTAAGTTTCGTAAAGATGTCCCTGGTGTGTTAGGGCTTGCCACACGTATTTGTTTCCACAGCAATTCCCCCTAAAACAAGGCATTTCTGTGTGCTGTTTTCACCAACATGCGCGTTTTTATGGACACTACCTGTATATTTATTTTTGCACACATCACTTGGCTGGAGAATTGTATTGCAGAATTCAGAGTAGTGTGGATTTTGAAGGATGCTTGTTTTTCGCTTCTCACATTGTTTTGGAAAGTGTGAATTATGTAGGTTCATCTTTAAATCCAAATTCACTTGAATTTCTCCCCACTGGTAGTGGGAGTGCTTTTGTGCGTTAACTGAATATGAAATTATTGTATTTTTGCAATGCTGAATTCGCTTGCTCTTAGATCTTTTGCACAGTAAAGGAAATTGAAACCTCTTCTGTTTACATCTGTTGACTTCCACTGACCTCTCATTCCTCTCTTCCACTGGACTGGGAACATTTTGGAGGTGCAAACTGGATGCATGTTGACAGGGAAGTTCCCTTCCAGCTAGGCAGCCATCTAACTTGTTGCAACTGAGTAATTTTCGCCCCTATAATCCTCTTGTTCCACTGCACAGTGCCAGAGGAGGGGCTGAAAGGGCATGGCTGCGCCTTGGTAAGAACTCTGAGATGGAACTTGTTTGATGTATCCAGAGGAGGATTTATTTTCTTACTTGCTTTGCGTGTTAGCATTTGGAGTTGCATGCTCAGCAGCAACTGCATACAGAACCCCTGTTGGAGCAGCACACTTTGCCCTGGATACAATCCCACCAAGTCTCTGGGTTTAGGAAAATAAGAAAGCTATGTTTATTAATGGAAATACATCTTTGATAGGAAATAGCTTAGTTCCGTCTAACAATGGTAGAGATGCTTTGGGCCATGTTTCCTCTTCCATCTAGAGAGCTTAAAGTATGTCTGCTCTCATGAGGGAGGGAGGTGTGGAGAAGAAGAAAATAAATAGGAAGTGAGGTCAACAGTCTAACACTGAAGGAAGATCTACAGGTCAGCACAAGGACGGTCTAGGAATCTCAGATGTTCCTCTCTCTATCTCTCCTTTCTTATGAAGATGCATCAACTTATATGAAAGCTGAGTTGCACACTGGCAATCCAGAGCATGTTGAGCTACAGAAGTAGCCACTGCAGGCAGTTTTCCATCCCCTTTTGAAACAGCCTTCTCAACCTGTTGCCCTCTGAAAGCTCTTCTATGATTTTGCTTGTCCTGCCTCTTTCCTGCAGGAAAACCAGTTGTTTACCACTGATTTGGATCACACATCAATTGGACTTTCTGCAGGTTGCCATTTGCTCTGATTCATTGGTAAAGAGCAGGTTTTCCTGGGGAAAGTGGCATGGCAAACAGAAAACCCCTCGGATCCATGCGGAGATAGGGTTGCCATATTTCAAAAAGTAAAAAACCAGGACCCCCCTCCCCCAAAAAAATGTTGAGTTTTTTGTTTTGTTTTGTTTTTTGCAAAAACACCAAACAAACAGGGCAAAGCGCCGCCTTTCGAAAATTCATCCTGTACGTCATTTCCGCCTTTGAAATCCCGGTAATGTCTGGAAAAATTTGGATGTGTGGCAGCCCTATGAGTAGATAGCATGGGACAAGTAGGATGCATCCTGAATATTGCTGGACTACAACTCCCATCATCCCTGCCCATTGGCCGTGCTGGCTGGAACGGATGGGAGTTTAAGTCCCACAACATCCAGAGTCCTCTAGGTTGGGGAAGCCTGTTAAAAAAATAATAATTACCCAGCCAATTTATTTATTTTTAAATAGTGATTTATTTATATTAGGGGGCATGGGGAGCATTGTACATTTTGTGGATTCACCAGAAGCGAATCTAAATAGATTGCTAAAAACTACAGCTGGTAAGAACTAGGCTTGCCAGATCAGCAGCATACCAACCCTGAGATATTGGGGCTGAAACGTGAGACGTAGGGTGGCCCCTGGTGATGTTACAGGATAGGCCCTGGAGACTGGGGTTAATTGGGAGAGGTGAGCACAGGAGGGCAACCCCAGCCCAAGTGTCTACACTATAATTTATAGCCAGGTCCTGCTGGGCTAAAGCTGGACGCACAGCACCTTCTTAATATATATATAAATTGAAGGCACCCTTGGGCACCAGCAGATTCACCTGGAGGGGACCAGGCAAACTTGGAGACTTCAGGTCAGACTGGTAGCCCTTGTGAGGATTGTGCTCAGCTTGATGCGGAGTCCTATCTGCCACAGTCCAATTCTTTTTCTTTTACTTTCCGATCCCTCATTGCCCTTGCATTTCCTTCCCTCTTCTTTTTGCTTCTGCCGAGGGCACAATACATTTACCGCTCAATAAACAAAAAGGGGATGCCAGCCCATCTTTCTTCCTCACACTCCCTCCTTTAAAGCTGTGCGCCTTCTGAAGCTTTTATTGCTCGCACTGTGGGAAGTGGCTGATTTATTCCTTCTCCTTCCCATCTCCTCTCTTTAACCTCTACTTCACTCTGACAACCTATAGATTCCCCCCGCAGTTTGGGCTTCTACTCCGGGCTTTGATTGTTGGCTCTGCTAACTGCGGCGGATGTTATGTGCTTGGGAATTAAGGTGATGCATTTCTCGCTTTTATGCGTGCCCCTGTTAACTTTAATAAGCCTGATTCACAGGCATTGGCAGGTTGATTCAGAGAAAGAAAAGCCGGGAGTGTGGGAGGGGTAAGGCAGCTAGCCTAGCCACAGACCAGTTTTAAACTGGAATACTTGAACTGAGCCTTCACCAGACATGCAAAAGAAATTGTGCTAGCTTAAAATAGGGTCCTAATGTCCCTGGGTAGGGACGCGGGTGGCGCTGTGGGTAAAAGCCTCAGCACCTAGGGCTTGCCGATCGAAAGGTCGGCGGTTCGAATCCCCACTGCGGGGTGCGCTCCCGTTGTTCGGTCCCAGCGCCTGCCAACCTAGCAGTTCGAAAGCACTCCCGGGTGCAAGTAGATAAATAGGGACCGCTTACTAGCGGGAAGGTAAACAGCGTTTCCGTGTGCGGCTCTGGCTCGCCAGAGCAGCGATGTCACGCTGGCCACGTGACCCGGAAGTGTCTCCGGACAGCGCTGGCCCCCAGCCTCTTGAGTGAGATGGGCGCACAACCCTAGAGTCTGTCAAGACTGGCCCGTACGGGCAGGGGTACCTTTACCTTTAATGTCCCTGGGTACACCAGATCCTTTCTTGATCTTTCAATGTTATTTATTTCACTGCTTGATTCTTTTGAAAAAAGTCCTCAATGTGGTCCAATTCGCAGGACTGAATGTGGATTCTAGCTATATTCAGCTGGATCATGGCTAGAATCCTTCCCAGGATTGGGAAAAACCTGCAGTCAGGGTTTCCAATTGAAGAGAGGATTAGGTACATAGGAAGCTGCCTTATACTGAGACTTCGTCTATCTAGTTCAGAATTGCCTGTACCATCCTTTCTCAAGCTTGAGCCCCCAGAGGTTGTTGGACTACAACTCCCATCATCCCTGACCACTGGTCCTGCCAGCTAGGGAAGACGGGAGTTGTAGTCCAACAACATCTGGGGACCCAAGCTTGAGGAAGGCTGGTCTACACTGACGGGTAGTGGCTCTCCGGGGTTTCAGGTGGGACACACCCAGCCTTACCTGGAGATGCCTGGGACTGAATCTGTGATCTGCTGCATGCAAGGCAGATGCTATACCACTGAGCTGTGTCCCTTTCCAATGCAGTTAGAATCCTCCCTGCAGTTCAGCACACAGGTCAAGAGAAGAGAAGATAGGTTTGGAGTCAGTACCCAACTTGAGCCCTCATGCTTGAAGCAACTTCCTTTCATTTTTAATCCGAGATAAATTTGGGCCAAACTCTGCTAAAAGTCTCAAAATAGTTAAAACAGCTATGGATTTGTCCTGAGTAAGTTCACATCTATGCTGCTGGGAGAGAGTTGAGTTAACCCTTCCCCTTGTGCTGTTTTCCTGATCTAAATCTCCCACCTCCAGCGCCCAAGCAAAAACACAGCCTCGTGGCAGTGCAACCTATGTGGGCATTCCTAGCCGCTTCCTGAAGCTCACAGTGTCCTAAGTAATGGCACCACCAGCCCATCCATGCCAAATCCATATCCTGTTATAAAGCTTCTCTCTTTCTAAAGGGACTTCCTGTAAATAGCTATGAAAGCAATCGGTGGTGTCTGGATCTGTGAACACAGCCTTGATCCACCAAACACTCAAGGCCAGAGTGACTGAAATGGAGGTTTCATCCTCCCAGGTGCGTATCTGCAAGTCAGTTTCAACGCTGAGTGCGTTAGCATCGCCTTTCATGAAGAATAGATGTTCAATCCCTCATTAATGTCAGCAGTGGACTCCTTCTCTCAGGTCAAAAACAGTAGAGGGTGGCCATCAACATTTTGGAAGCACTTGGCTGGCAGATGTTGGCAGTAGAAAGCTTAACTAAATGAACCTTTGGGCTGATCTGGTGTGGAAATGTTTATGGTCTGGCTTAATTGGGTTTGTAATAGCATAAATGCTTTGGCGAAAGGATCAGACATTGATTGATTTGGTTATTTCCTTCTGTCTTGCTCATGTGACTTTTCTCCCCTCTGGAAATTCGAGCACCACTCCTCTTTGTTTTGCCTTCCTGTTAGGACTAGGGTGGGGAACTGGATCTGACTGGTCAGTTGGGTTCTTATCTCCTACACACCTGCCCATGGACCATGGGCCAAGTTTCATAGGTGGGTGGGGCCAGCCACCTGTTTATCACCTGATGTCAGGTGACCCGTTTTTGCCTGTCTAGACGATCAGCTGATGGTTGGAGAGCTACAATTCTCAGAGTGGTCTAGGAGTCACTCTTTTCTCCCTAGTGAACTGTAGGATTGCAGCTCTGTGAGGGGAAGGGTGTGTGTCTCCTATTAACAGTCAGCACCCTTAGCAAACTACAGTTCCCAAGATTCTTTGAGGGAAGCCATGGCTGCTTAAAGTGGTATGATGATGCTTTAAAAGCATAGTGCACATGTGGCCTAACTGAGGAGATCTATGACCTGTCACAGGACCATCTCACAATGGCTGCCTGGTAATCGAATTGCCTCCCCAACCTTCTGGTGCCAACTCATGTCTGTTTTCTGGCACTGGTTAAGACAGTTCGATTCCTCCAGGCCTTTGAGCAGACCTGCATCT